ATTTTTATCTGCATAAAGTTGAAGTTAATATGAACTACATTGAACTAAAAATTTTTGTATGTTAGAATTGATCAATATTTGAGATTCGTGTACATTTGGAATTTTCAGAAATATTTTAGTTCAATATTAAGTATCTCCGAAAATTCTAGGTGTATACGAAGGTTTCAAATATTGATAAATTCTAATGTACTATAAATTTATTATCAATTCTAACTTTTTTAAGTAGAATCAATAGAAAGTTTGATGAAAATCATCCTAATACATATTCGTGACAACGATTACTAAGGCGATCTAGGAATACAACGTGTATTTCATTGCACGTGGCGGGAAAACAAATTTCATCTCGGATTTTTTTTTGGCAATCTGTCTTCGTCGACAATTCCGTCACCCATACAACCGCGATGAAGTTGCGTATCGTGGGAAATGTGGGACGTATTCGGACATGCGCGAAAACTGCATTGACAGTCGCTCGCACGTGGAATTACGGACGTAGCCTTAATTGACCGATCGCACTTTTTGTCTAGTTCGATCCGTATGTATACAGCCGAAACCCAGGTCGTGAACCGTGAGGCGCAACGAATTGCGGCGTCCACGTCGCTCCTATTTTCGAGAAAACTGCAGTACGTTACGGATTTTCCGTGAACTTGCATCCCGCTTCTTTTCTACTCCAGCGCCGTCGCATTTGCGAAGATGCACGTCGGGAATGAAACGTGTCGCCCAACTCTTTCAGCGCCACTGACGATTTTAAAATAAGATCACGTGTAGACGAGGCGATGTAATCTACCACGAGACGTGCCGAAGTAAGCAAATGGCCAGCTAACGATGAAAACAAACATCCAGCGTGACTCTGAATCATAAAATTCGTTTTGAAAATAAAATCCCAACGCAACATTAGTGGAAACACTTGCACTATGATTTATAAATAGCTACATTGATCTCTTCCTTTAAATGTTCTCTTCCGTTATTATTTTGTTAGTCTCCATCCGCTATTTTTTATCTTTATTTTTACTGGACGTCTTTCTTCTCTCGAATATATTAATCAACTTCCTTCACGTAACTCTCTATGCGCTCGTTATAACATCAGAGGAGTAACAAAAAATTGACTAAAGGGTTGACAGGCTTCTACTGTATATGCGCGACGACAAAATCAGCCAAGGCTGTTCCCAATCTCCAGGCGCACAAGCGGTTGAATATCCAGCATCGACATCATCTTCATAATTGCAGCATAATTCCGGAGTCGTGACACATAAAGCACGCGTTTAATTGGTGATTAAACCGACTGAATTGAAAGTCCTCCGGGTAAATTAACGTTCAATGGAGGCGATTTACAGTATCATATCGTTCTTGCACTCAATTCCCTGGCTATTATAAATAACCCTCTTTTTTCGTCGCGTCGTGCGTTATCGTCACGCTACATCGTTACCAACGGCCCCTCACGTGACTGAAATTTCATTTCACGCGTTACACCTTATTCACGGCCCTTGAAACATTTTGAAATTTATATGCATCTTTTCTTCATGTACTTAGACATTTAGTCCTTTGTATTTATTATAAAGTTCACGATTTATTTTTCGTGGATAAAAGTGTCCGTTATCAGCCGTTATTCTTCCCAATAAATCTTTGTGAAAGTAATTATTTTTTATCTGTATTTTATCTGCACGTTACAATTCTCTATTTTCCGATGTGTCATTCAACGGTTTAACCTAAGAATGATAAAGTGGGGTATGAACGTATTTCAAGCGGTACATTTTGTTTCATAACATTGGTAACATTGACTTTGTTTCATAGACATATGATTCCAAGTATCTATCAATTCAGTTTTCGTCTTAATTCTCCAGAGGTCGTTTTACCTCTCTCTTATATCATGGACTCCATGAACCGATCTTCCTTAATTAATAATTCAAAATGTGGTTGATTACAAAATAGAAAAATGTTTGTTCAATTTGATTTATATATCTATACGTACACAAGATTTTCATGTGATATCATTAGATACTCTGTACATAAAATAGATACATAATCAAAGCTTGTATGTATAGACGCAGAACTTCAGAAGGAGCCAATTTGTAACGAATTTTTCCGAACAAAGCGCACCAATGTTTTCAGCGATAGTGATGTGACGGCGAATTCGGAAACAATTGTGTTCGCCAACACGTCTCTCTGACAACAGGGCCGACCCACGCCGTTGGCTGTCATCCACAGAATTACCCCAATGGCTTTAATTAACTAATCTTGTTTTCATTCGATTCACCTACGTATACCTGACTGTCGTGTTGAAGCGAGCCACCTTAACAAAACCGCCTTCTCGTTTGTTCAATGCCCGTCCTATAAACAATTGCCAAGCCTCTCTAGGACTCTCCAGGCACTGGTATTGTCAAGCAATTTCTCCCTCGTACACTTACGACGTGTACAAGGATGTTAGCAAATCGCCGTGCAAATTTTGAAAACGTGTCCTCGCGTTTAATTGACTTTAGTTTTTTATTTTGAGAAACATAGAGGCAACGTTTCAATTTTTCAAGTTTCGCGTTCAATATTCTTTAATTGAAAGCAGCTACACTGTTCTTTAATTAATACGCCTATTAGCAACGGCAAAGCATTCGAGAGCGAGTGCCAATCAATTTCATCTTTTGCTGTTCTTTGAAAGTGTCGGCGGCGATCGAGAACGCGCAAACGCCGTGTGTATGCGATAGCGCTTAATTAGCAGTTAAACTTGCGGTCGATACGGAACTCCACCCCCGAAGTTTTAGCTTATTTACAAATTATACGAGAATCCATAGTTAGAAATGCCCTTCGCTAACTGTATTAGAGCATCGTGCAATTTCAAACACGAATACTCTACGATAAATTGCTAAAGGTGTATCCCTCCTAAATTCTTTACGCGGCACCTTTCAGATACCAGATAAGATACGTTAATAAGATAAAAAGGACAAGATGTGAACTATATACGTCCGTTATGTCTCCGAAGCTACTTATATGTCTCGTTACGTATTTTCTCACGGAATTGGAGCACGATAATCAACAAGAGGGATATTTTCTAGTTGTGTAGCTACCGCGGTTAGATAAGCGTTTATTCAGTACTTAATACTGTAATTATTTCCAATACTTCCTAAAAGAATCTAAAATATATATCAAATAAAAAATTGATCAGTTTCTAGCTATTCAAGAAGAAAACCTGGTCATTAGCCAGAAAGTAATCAGTTTTTATTCTAGCCAATACTAGGATTTATTAAAGAGCAACTATTCAAAAAATCAACAAGAAAATATTAGCCAATATTTATTGCTCAGTTATCGACCAAAAACTAGACAATAAAAATTGTAAGTAAATACTGAACAGTTTCTTTGTTAAAAACTCAAAAAATACTGGCTACACACACATACAATATTTCTTGGCCGGTTAGTAGACAGAAACTCTATACTAGAAAACATGATAATGAAAAATATAGCTACAACCATCTTAATAATGAAGAAATTAGCACATGAAAAGACTTTACTTTTTAAAATACGAGTTGTCACCTTATTTTTATATTGAAAAGTAATACATTTAATTGCACTATTTTTTCATAGTGTGGAACCAAATGAAAAAGATTATTTTATAAAATTTTATGCAAAAAACATTTGGTTAGAAACTAATAAAAACTTTATTAGAAACTGGTTAAAAACTAGAGAGTTTTGTTGTCCAGTTATTGACAAAAAAAGTGCCACCTAAACTGGCCAAAAATTAGATAATAATCAGAATTTTTAACTAGTTTTAGTTAGATTAGAAAATGGTCATTCTTTTTACTTGCGTAATTGGCCAAGAAACTTGAATCAATCAGGAAACTAGAAAACTTGGCGACATTTTCTTCGTCAATAGCTGGACGATAAAATTAATCAGTTTCTGATCAGTTTCTAACTACTTTCAGTTTTTCTAACTGATCAGTTTCTAATCAATATTTGATAAATTTCTGTGCAATTTCTAATTTAATTTCTGGTAAAAATTGTTCCAAATAGTTTATAGTTCTCGTTGTGTGTGTGTGTGTATTCAATTGAACATATATATAATACAAAATATTATAATTTATTATTCATAATAGGTAATATTAAAAAACGTGATATACGTTTTTCAGAAAGTATAACCTTTTTATGTAAAAAAACACGTAAAACTCATTTCATTATTTTTATTTATTTAACTTTATTTTTAATTTGAATTTTCTCTTGCTACTTTGGCTCTTGTCAAGTTTTTGGCTAGTAACTAGCCAGTTCTTTCCGAATTTTAATCAGATGAAAATTGCGCAGTATTTATTCTTTTTTTTGCCTAGTTTCTAGTCAGCATTACGAAGATCTAAGTCCAGTATTACCAGTATAGCTAAGAAATACTGGTTAATATTTCCGGGGTTTTTACTGAACAGAAACTATTCACAATTGTTTATCATTTTTTCTTATCTAGTTTCTGCCCAGTAATTAGCCAAAAAACAAAAATCAGTATTTTCCTAGTTAATATCTGAATAGTTGCTGTCTAACAAATTCCAGCTAATAAGAACTAGCCAGTTCCTGGCTAGTGATTAGTTTTTCATACAAATTTTTATATTTAATTGTTATCCTTTTGAAAAATAAAAAAATATTCAAATATATCGCTTCAAAATATACGAGGTGATCATCTAACGTTAGACTCTAAGACGTTTTTATTTTTTTTATATTACAAGAAAATATATAAGAAATAAATTGTATGGTTGGAACAGTTGGCTGACCGTAATATTTATCCCTTCTAACCACGCAATTTATTTTTCTTATAAATTTTCTTTTAATATAAAAAATAACAAAGATGTTTTAGAATCTAACTTAGGTCAGTATTTGAAAGAGGAGGACACCCGATTATAACAATTTGAAGAGTAACAGAAGTTACGCAGCATTTTCTTGTGCTTATATATGTCTACTGCTTTTATTATCGCATTGCGATCACGTAGAATTCAAATTGACGAGACGTCTGAACGTGCAGTACGTCGCCATGAAGACTGACTTACCAGAACGTAGACTGCGAACGGCATAACAAGCACCGCCACGAGGAGATCGGCGACCGCTAAGCTGACGATGAAGTAGTTCGTGACGGTTTGCAAGGTACGCTCCCTCACCACCGCCAAGATGACGAGCACGTTACCGAAGAGCGTCAAACACGGCACGATCACGAGTATTAGGGCCCACCAGCTGTTCGCGTTCGACTTCTCATCGACGCCGGCCGTCCCGCACTCGACCGCTCTGACGACGTCCCCGGCGCCCCCGGCGACTATCGACGACGTGCAGTTGACGCTGCTAAGGTTCAGCCCTGCGCCGCCGTCGTAGGCCGTGAGGTTCACGAAGACGCTGTAGTTTAGCCGGTTGATATAATCATTCAGATCGTCGAAGACGAACAGGTCGGATATGCCGGTGTAGTTGTCCACGCTCGGGGTGGAATATGACGAGGACTCCGCGAAGGATGAAGAGGCCAGCAGGGTCGAGCCGGTCGAGTCGATCGTCGTCGAGTCGCTGAACCAACTCGACTCGCTGCTGTCGATGCCGCTGTCATTCTTTGACAGGGCATCGCCCAGTAGGTCCACCATCTTCTCCTCCTGCAAAGTCGTGGAAACGACATCGATTGCGTCGGTCGCTCTTCCGGGCGGCTCGTCCGGCTGCCGATGTCCGTGAGTCAACGAGAGGTTGCGGAGGATCGACCTGACGAACGAATCGCTCGTTCCCACTTCCATCACGGTCGATCTTTCGTGGTCGACCTTATCCCTTGTCAGCCACGCAGTGACACCAATCACGAGATCTTGGAACGTCTAGCCCGGGATTCCATCTTTTCGCCTGCGTCCGACATCCCCAGCTTCCTCCTTATCTTCCCGATGCGTTGAATTGCCTGCCCTCTCTCTCCCCCCCTCTCTCTCTCTCTCTCTCTCTGCTTCCTCTCTTTCTCTTTCTCTTGCGTCTTCCTCTTTTTCGCTCTTCCCTGTTCTTCTGGTTCTCCTTCTTCGACCAGGTAGTAAGTACGATAAGGCTTCTTGATCCTCTTTGCGAGCAAGAAGAGAGGTACTGTTTCTAGCCGGCCCTTTGGCCGGTCACACAGTTTCTAGGATCCCCGGCTTAGACGCGTATCAGTTGAATCCTTCCTCCTCCAGGATTTCTGCAATGGAGGAAAAGTTAGTGGTCACTACTAATGTTCGCTTTTAAGAGCAAAATGCTCGTATGCCAAAAGTTTGTTTGGAAATTTCTCTCGGAAAATTGTCGAACGAAAATTTCCCGCTCGTAAAATTCTCCCCAAAATCGATGTGCCTAACCGTATCCCAAGTGGGCATTCGTAACTTCAAACTGTGCATTCCTAATTTTCCGGCTTAACTTTTTATGAAGGTTACGAGCAAATCTAAAATGTGATAAAATCGTAATTTTATGGTAGTTACCGAGGTGATGGCCGTTCAATTATTTGTCGTCTTGCTAGGATACCTCGGCGTATGATAAATTTTATGATAGTTTGCCTAACAAATTTGAAATTAATTTTTCAACCAACAATTATTTGATCAAGTGCTTTTATTTATTGCATCAATTTAATAGTCAATATTAATCCTTAAAATGAATAGCATGAATCATTCGTGTGCAAACACTTTTAATAATTTTGAATTTCATTTCATCCAGAAATTTTTAAGACTTCGTACGTATTCCAAAAAAATTTTACATAACAAGAGCACTTGAATAGTAAAAGATTCAGAACCAATAAAATTTGTCAGTTCATATTTGAACAGCATCCGGAACAAATCGATTCTCCACACAAATGACTCTTTTATTCATTTAACGTATATTTTGTACATAGTAAGTGAACATTTGTTTTTCTTTATATTGTATGTTTCAATAATTTTTCGAGTTGTTTTAATAATTATTTCTTAATATTAATTTTAGTTTTATTAATTATTTAATAGTTGTATTAAACTAATGTGGTATTCTGTCGAATTTTCACAAACAAAGGTTGTAAAAAATATACAAAGGTACACTATTTTCACATGCAGAAATAATTTGACTTTTCTCAACATACGACAATAAACTATTTTCTTTTTTATTTATTATACTTTCAGATATAAAACTTTAAATCGTTTTTATTAAGAAAAATTATAAAAGTCTTAACTTTTTTAACAAAATAGCTTTTATTACAGAATCATGTTTAATAATAATTAAAAAGTTATATACAACTTTATCTTTTTTCAAATAATCTAGTAATTTGTTAATTGATATACTTGAGAAAAGCTACATAATTTAATCAGAATTTTTCAACTATTTTAAATTTACTAAAAAATGCGTCAGACGTGAGTGATCACCCTATTCACTATTCACTAAGGTGTTAAGAATACCTATACAACGTAAGGATTAATGATAGTTGGGCTGACAAATTTGAAATAAATTTTCGTCCAACGGGACAGATGCCGTTCCTAATTGCATCACTTTAACAGTCAACATTAATTGTTTCAATAATTACACTCGAAAATAAGTTTTCCATAAGGATAGGGTGCGTTTGAATTTATGCAAGCAACTGTTCGCTAGCGAAATGCAGGCGCACGTCTGTATTTACCCGTGATCGCACGGTGATTTTAATCGCGATCAAACTTTCTAAGTGAAACGATAAATTCACGCAAGAAAGCCATCCTGGCTATTGAATGTCTTCTCCTTAATGAAACGTGGAAGGAAAAACTCGCGGGGCCCCATCTGCGCGCGTCACCGTTCGAGACGAGTGCCTTCTGGCGCAATCTCGGAATTAAACAAAAACTCACGGACGCCTCTACCCACTCACCCGCGGATCGCTTGAAATGGAACGCTTTCGTCCTCGGTAGGCAAAAGATCGAAGGTACACACGGGGGGAAGCCGGATTGACAGATGGACAGGCATTATAGTGTTTCTCCTTGGTGGTGGTGTGGCACGAGCGTGACGAGGGTGTGTAAGAGACGTAGAAAGAGAAAGGGAGACATAGACAGAGAAGGAGTGGGGTAGGCATCGGAACGTTTCAACGCAACCTCGTAGACCCTCTTAAGGACAGAAATCATCTCCTTATCCCACGGGACCTTCCATCTCCGCCGATTCCCTTTTCTACATAGAACTTCGAAGGGTGAAGTGGCGCCGCGGCGGTATATATCGCCCGGTGGTATCTTTCAGACTGTAAATTTCTCTGAGTATCGCAGTCTCTACTGGCTGTAAAGTTCACGGGATATGTATATATATACATGTTTGTGTATGTGTGTGTGTGTGTAGCGCATAATAGCATCCGGTATCCGCTATCTAAATTCTCGACTATGGAGTTTGCGATATTTCGCGTAGACAACGGGGATTGCTTGAAGGCTTGAAGAGCCTTTAATAAGAGAATCGTCAGTTCGATCACATGACCTGATTACGTTTTGATTGGCTAAAGGCACCATAAATGTTCATAGCTTTGAGAAGAAGTTAAAATAAGACAGTAAGAAGAGAGGAATAGTGGATAATGCCAAAAACTTACTAAAGCGATAGAGATAAGAGGAAATCACTGATTAGCATATTATGACGACTCTCTTATTAAAGGTTCTCCAGTTGCATCTGATGGAGGAAACCGGAGGAACAACGGCTGAAGTCGGGTGTACTTATCAAGAAAACCGTTCGGCTCCTTCCTTTGTCCCAGCAGACGGATGGACGAACGGAACTATCGCGCACGGAACTATAGCTATTCCTTATCGACGGCCATTCGTGTTCACGATTGCGAAAATTGAATTCCATTGTGGCGGCTATTGCAGGCGGTCGCGGCAAGTCGACCGTTTAATGCATTAAGCACAGTGAGTTCGCGAATACGCGAACCGACGTATCGGCTTGTACTGTTTTGGCTTGCAAATGTGCGCCACGCGCGTGGCTCTTTTTCTCTTTTTTTTCTATTTTCCTCGCCCACATGGACGTGTGTAGCTGATACATTTATTTTCCGTGGATTCTTGTTACCAATAAAGGTCGATATTGCGAGGGCATGATTTATTCCGTTATTCGTGTTCTATGTAAGTTATGCGAGAAGATATAGGAAGACAAAATGGCGATTATACCATAAGCACGAAGGAATTTACTTGCTATAGCATAATATAGATATTTGTGTTCTCTGGCGGTGCTTTTATACACATACCAAAAATTATTGCTTAAAGACAATTATTGCTTAAAGACGGATACAAGAAATAATGTTTTCAACAAAATATTAATAGATGGCGCAAGTTTTCTTTTTAATTATCACATAGGTCACATAAATGTGGAAGAGTGAAAGTTTGAAAATTACAACAGTCTCGCGGAAATAGTATTCTTTTGCTAAAAGCTACGTATTTGTAAAGTTTATATTTATGGGAGTTTTTATAGTATACTTCCCTTAAGACGGTACGATCGAGACAAATGAAAAGAACAAAGAGGAGAGGAAGTTACGAAAGAGGGAATGTTTCAGAAGGTAACCATCTGTCGCATATATATTTATGAAATGATTCATGAAGAATATCTGTTTAAAAGAAATATATCGAAAAAATAATTTTTTTCAAATTTAATATTATTAATATAATTAACATATTAATATAATTAATATATTATTATTATAAGTTGAAACCTGTTTCTACATATATCCAAAGAATTCTAATTTTAATGTATAAAAAAATTAATAAATACACTATTTATTTTCCTTATAAAAATCAATCACGATTACACAATGGCAATAATAAAACGATTACATCATCTTTATTCGTTATTGTAATAGACTCCGTTTTTACACAGCATCAAAAACTTTTAATTGTGAGCGCACAGATTTAATAACAAATATTTATCTTTATATGATAACTATAATTTGTTTAATCTCTCTGATGTGCAGTAATGTACTCGTCAGTCTTGTGTAAACTTATTGAAATCGATAGAGTACGAAAAGAGCGAGGTCATATCTCGGCTTTGCAAAATACGTATATAATGCAGTATCTGAGCTTGTAAAAGCTATTGAGGGAAAAAATGCGGAACGGAGACGACCCAGAGGGAAACAGCACGCATCCTGTAATTCACCCCATGTTCTCCTCTCTCTTCTTCCCTTGGTACTTTATTTCACCATTCGTCCTTCTTTTTGCTGCGTATGTCGCGACCTTCGTTCCGTTCGTGCCTCCGGCAGTGAGTATGACAGAAGTGTAAAAGTTGAAGGAGTTACAGGTGACTAAATTTTATCAGAAGGGAAAAAAAATATATATAAAATATTAATTTATATTATATATAATTATATATGTAATTATATATACTTATTTATTTAGGAGAGAAATATATATATATATATATATATATCCGGGAAAAAAAGATTATATATAATTATATATAAATATATATGATTATATATGATTACATATGAATTTTGTTCATATATGTGGCCTTATATATGAACATATCTAATTATATATGTCCATATATAAAACGAAAATTGTCAAATGAAAAAAGGAAAACGTAATTCGATTAAACGTCGATATCATAATCATAAGCATTTACTTCAATTGTATCTTCACAATAATATTCTTTTCAATGTCGACATATATAATTATATATGATTATATATAACCATATATGGACAAAATTTATATATAAACTTTTTTTCCGTGTATATATTATATATATATATATATATATATATATATATATATATAACTACATTGCGTACGTTAGACTTTAAACATCGTTCCGAGGCTGCCGACATTTTAGTCTCTTCAATATCGACATTCTAGAAATGTCCGCAACTGTCATTCCTGGCTCCGCTCTTTCGTAAATTTGAAGAAGAACGTAGCGAGTGCTTTGTACATACCAGAAAATATTGCTGCTTTGTTGTTGATTATTAATGAAAGTTTGTAAAAATTCTTTTATTGGTGCTGTACATTGATCCCGCAATTATGATTCTGTAGAAGTAATTAAGATTATTGGTCTCTCGACGCGGCCATTATAATTTATGACTTCAGAAGCGAGGAATGCATGTCCAAAATTCCTCCAAAATACGTCGAAATAAAAAGATATATTCAAAAGTCACATTTGCATATTTTTGCACATTTGCACTCATATTTTTACACAAAATAACACATAAAATGACAGAATAGAAATACGAAATAAATAAAGAAATAAATAAAGAAATAAGTAAAATTT